AAGGAGGTTAATCCAAGATCCTAAACTACAACAGAGAGTCCCGACCAAACCACACTTGACGGAGAAGTTCTGGAAGATGTACAAACGTGTACATACCTGGGCAGCATCACAGACGAACAAAGGGTTCTGGTGCGAAGGTGGAGATAGACATAAAAAGGATGGATAGGACTTGGGAATAATTGGAAAGGAGAGCGCACAGAAACGAGTAGGTTGAAGATTGTTGGTCAACGGCCTATGCTATACGAGCGACGACCGGTGTATTTAAGTTTCGGATATCTGACCTGCTGCCATTAATTTCAAAATGTTATTCATCACAAATATTTGCTGTTGAATAGTAGTATTTAGACACTGATCGAAGCAACTGCTTTTCTATCCTTTTAACGAAGGGTACTTTTACATTTGAAAATAATGTAACTGAATTATCTCGTGAAATTTTGTATTTTCATTTATAACTACACGAACTACTGGATGAAATAATTTTATTTTACTGCTGGACTTTGCAGTTCAATTCAAACAACCTAAGTTTACTTTACCTAAGTTAGATCACTCTGAACTATGATCAAAAATCATAATAAAGAAGAAAAACATATTGGTTAAAACTGATGTTTGGTTATATTATTCAAAATGTAGTCATCATTAGAAGGAAAAGAGAAGAGGTTATAATGACAGATAAAATTATGTAAAACAGTTTGTGTCTTATCCACTTCTTGCGCTTTTTCCTAATTTCTTTCTCAACCAGAACCTAGTTGGTTCTCTCCCACGGTAGGTTGTTGCTGACGGTGTCCAGTGTCTTGCATAAACAGACAACTGCCAATAAACACCTGTATCTTTCAGGCGATGGCCTTCGTAGTTCTCCAAGCGTCCGCTACATACAAAAGAACTGTTTTATCGTTCGTATTGTAAATTTTGACTTTAGTGTCGGTTGATAGTTGTTTTAAGTTCCGGATATTTCCCAGTTGTAAGAATACTGCCATTGTTTTGCCGATCCGCGTATTCACATCTGTCTCAGATCCATCTTGTTTATGAATGATGCTACATAAGTTTGTAAAGGTTTCCACCTCTATCAAAACATCCTTGTCAAGTGTGATTTCGTTAGTGCACGTTGTGTTGTATTATAGGATCTTGCTTTTTCCCTTGTGTATGCTGAGTCCTACTTCTGCCAGACTGGCTATCTTTATCTGCATTCGTTGTTGTGTATTGGATAAAAGAGCTAGATCGTTTGCGAAGTTCAGATGGTTTGGGTGGATCCGCGCTGTTTACTATATTCCGTACTTTCTCTGAGATGTTGACGTTTCCATAATTCAGTCAACCATCAGGAGAATTATCCTAATTACACCAAAGAGGTCGACCATGATTTCACGTAGTTGAGGTCAGAAATGATTGATTACATTGGCTTCCACAGGGCGGAATAAAAGTAAATTCTTTCAGTCTATTACTCAATTCAACTTGACTGATTGTTACTCGGTTCTATTCATAAAGTGTTCGTTTATATAGTGCTGATGACCTGTTGATAAATGACATAATGATTATCATATGGCAGCCAAGATCAACTCTTAACAATTCGCGGCCTAAAATGCAGCTCTTCCATGCTCGCTCGCACGATAGTCAACAGAGAACACAACACAGCCAGTAGATAGTTTTTAATTATGTAGCTTAACTTTATAAGTCAACTCATACAATAATACAATGGGGGATCTTGAAAACATATCATATATGCTTAGGAGGGTTATTTTTCTTGAAAAGAATCAATCCCAGGTGGATAAGACAAACCGTTGGTAGTCACTTATATCTGAATTTTTTGTGCTCGTGCCCTATACTAGTACTAAATAGCTATCTGATGCTTTCTCATTCAGTCAGTCAGTTACAACGTAGAACTCCGTACGTGCGTACATAAATTCAGGTTGCCATACCACATTAGTACGGAGACACATTTGCCAGTTCAAATCCCATAGTAATAGAGGTAGTAGAAGTATTAGAGGTAATGGAGAAGATCAGGTTTCGAAGACATTAATCAAGAAATATAACTTGAGAAAGAAAAAGATAGAGGTGATGAGGAATTCGAAAGAATAGAATTTCAGAGCACACAAAGATTGGATGCACCTGCGCCAACAGATAATGCCACAGAACCTCACTATCACCACAGTGATGCCGAAATGTGTCTGCGTTCTGGGACCTATCAAAGTGTGAATATCTGGTCTACACGGCCACGTCCAACTCGGGAACCAGTCCAGTTTCCTTCGAGTCTACTCTTCACAAGCTCTAGTTAGGCGTCAAAATATTATCGAGGATAACAATTTAGACACTATATTTGTTAACCTGATTCTGCTGTAATTGTCCTTTTTATAGACCGCGACAATCAGCGATTAAGACCAGTCAGATGGGATTATGTCCAGTTGTCGAATTCTAACTAAGATCTCAAGGCAATCAAACTGCTAAAACTCGACCACCAGCCATCTACACATCGATAAGATTTGGAGGATTTACATCATTTTGCCATTCAGGTTGGCTGGACATCGAGGGTAACCGAAGTGTGGCTGAAGGTCAATCGAACTGATCCCTGAAGTGTTCTGCCCATCGGTCCAATCTCCAGGATTGACCATCCTTTTCTGAGATAGTTTCCTCAATAAATCTGAATCGTTGTCTACTGCTAACTATTGCCGCTGCCTTTCCCACCTCTCTCGCTTTCGCTACCCATCACTGTTCGTGATCGTTGCGTAGACTTTTAATTAGCCTGCGCCTAAGCTGACTCCGCTCTTCATCATGTTCAGCGCCAGATAGGATGAGTTTACGAGCATCGATCAGTTCACCAAATGCTACTAGAATCCACGGCTTCTCTTTAATCATATGGTTTACGTAACTAGCAGATATTACAATATCTCGAATGATATATTTGATAATTAATCTTTTTTGTTATTGCAAATACGTCTACTACTATGGAATTTGAATTGACAATTGCGCCTTGGTGCTAATGTGCCATAGCAACGTGAAGTGATGTACGTACGTCCGAAGTTGTAACTGACTGACTGCTGTTTCCACAGATTTTTGGATATTATTCCAAGCTGCCCCACCGTGGGAATCAACAACGTGGCCTCCTGACCGTTCTTATAGTTACTCTTGCAATATATTCTTAGCTTCATTATCATTATGTAGAACCCTAATAGGCTTCCTTTCATTGTCTTTCCTACGTCCAGTAAGCCGCAAAGAAACAAGCGCTCGTACTAGAGCATGATATGAATATAAACGTGCTCCAAGACGAGCGACAATCTTCTATCCAGACCGCTCCATCGGTGGCTGATTGCAATGTGGTCTAGTTGGGGGTCGCCAGGTCAAGATGTTTTTCCTTATGCTTAAAGTCAGTATTTGCTAGAAATAAGCGGTTATCTGAGCATAGCTGCAGGAGACGGTCTCCTTAGTCTGTTAGATCAGCCGCGACACTATAAAAACCGCCCAGCTGTCTTTCTTCATTAAATGGTCTACCTAAATGAGCATTAAAGTCAACAGCCACTATTACCATATCAGAGCGCTTAACTTTCTGAAGAACGTTAGAGATGTTTCTGTAAAATTCATCTTTTATCTCGTCTGAAATGCAGTCAGTGGGAGCGTAGGCAAAGACAACAAGGAGGCGACGGTGAGTGTCTCTATCCTTACTGCCCCGTCTAGCCGGGCACCGCACAAACAAAAATCTACTGGGATTCAGTCTAAAAGAACTAGTTCTGCCCTAGGACTTAATGCTATACCTATCGAGAGTGGCGGAGCGGCAGGAAGCGGAAACAGGGTTTCCAGATACACGAAGCGTAAACCGAATTGGTTCTCTATCTGCACACGATGAAGTCGAATTAATGACTCTACTCAGGATCTGTGTGCGCGATTCTGAGACGCAGAATACATTGATGGCACGGGATTTCAGAGTCCTAGCTAAAGAAGTCTGTTGTCCTATCTGACACAAGGTTTGAACATTAAAAGCTCCAACATGTAGTTTAGAACAGGGTTTCAGGGGACGGTTTGTGAACTCGAATCGTTTGCATCGGCGGTGAGGAGTGATAAAGGAACGAAAGAAGGGTCGATCGTGGAGCTAAGAGAGTTATTGGGTGAAGGAAGGATTTGAGTGTGACTGATTCGGTCTGATGTGCTTTCATAGGTATGAGAGCGGATGTCAATTCCCAGCTGCCCACACCGTAGACGTGTACTTAATGAAGAACCTGTAAAGGAAATCAGATTAGCGTTGGTTTGATCGAACTGAGATAGTGACCGCAAAGCCCAATGGACAACTGCTTGAGGTCGGTCATAAACGGCCTTTTTGTTGGAAGATGTTGAAGTGTTATCTCCGTTGTTCAAGTGGCCTTACCTCCGGAGACGGAAATCCGTGAGGTAGGGTGAGGTGTAACATTTTTAGGATCGACCTTTTGTAGCCCCAGTATCGCTTCAGATGCTGGTTATCCGAGGGAAACACCTTACTGCCATCACACCCCTCTACAGTCAAGAGTACGACTTCGCCCTCAGACCTTGAATTTGCTGCTTTTAGTCTCAACGTTCTTCAATCGACCTGCCTGGCGTAGTAGAACCTTCAGGATCATATGTTCCAGCAAATATAGATCGGTCGGGTCATCACGATAGGCAAGCCCGACCACCACAACAAGGTAGCAGCTACGGTCGGGTCTGATGTTTTCTAGCTTTGATTGGTTTTGTAAATAAGGCCAGTTCGTGATCGAAACTATGAGATTCAACAGCCTCTACAACCACACTACCTTACACTAAAACGAAGAAAATGACTAACTAGTTGCTTTCTTTACAAAATCGCTGACGTAATATCAATAAGCAATAATTTTATTATGAAATGCCTAAAAAAATAGAGTGATACAATGCGGAAATCTTGCAGGAATAATAAATTACAATGAAATAAATGCATGATTTGCGTTGAAGTGATGAAAAAAAAAGGGATAAAATGAGGAGGAAGAATAATAATCCGAATACGCACACACAGATACACAAAAAAAAGGAAATTAATCTAATCTAGTCCAATCAATTGGTTCAATACCGTGTTGTTTTAAATATTCATTCGCTTTGACAAAATGTCCACAACCAAAGAAACCACGATTAGCGGATAAAGGTGATGGATGTGGGGCATTGAGCACCAGGTGACATTTATGATCAATTGATTGACCTTGTTTTTGAGCACTTGCACCCCAAAGCATAAAAACTAAATTCTATCACAATAACAACACATTAGGAAAATTCAAAGGTAGATAGAAAAAAAGGCAAATTTATTATTATTACTATTATTTTATCTAAATATATATAAAAAAAGGTATGTATAATTTACATAATATATAACTTTTACTGATAAAATTCTAAGATAAGCATTGAAATGAAAACAATGTGAGTTATTATCAAGTACTTGCATAACAGTTGCTATTTTCCCTTTGGGTAGTGTGTTGGTGAGTAGCCTTAGTTAGATATTTTGTTTGTTGAGCTGCAAAAGTGAATTTTGTAGTTATCCTTCCACTGACACATAAACTAACACAAAATAAAAATGCTATCAATGCACACAGACAATGACAGATACAAACAAATTTGACTGAAGACAAGTTAAAATTCTGCCGTGGGATAATTTTTATGGGTGAAAAAGAATTTCTACAATTATCATTTACATTACGGGGTTGTGAAGATTGTTAAGTTACACATTTTTGAAACCATCAACCGATCAATGTTAGACCACCATTAGAAACCTGGAAGCACTGGATGGCCATTTCGTCCTGGTATGGGACTCCTCAGCAGTGCGTATCCACGACTCCTGCACCCCGCGGGATTCGAACCCAGGACCTTCGGTATTGTGCGCGAACGCCTAACTATCGGACCACTGAGCTGGTATCTAACGGTGTTAATGTCTAACTTGATCATATTCACGGAGTTGCGCAACCTCATACACAGTCTTCGGTAGTTACTGTCTACACCCGAACAGGTTGAACTTCCCTGGTCACGTCTTCCCACTAGAACTCGGAGAAGATTCCTCATCATTTAGCAGATTAAGCTGCAATAAATGGGGGCGCACATCGGTGGATAAGCTTCATCTATCAATCTATACAAAAATGGTCGATCGTAGTAAGGAGTCAACAAGAATAATAATAACAATAGAGAAAACAAACAAAGACACTGAAACCTACGATGATAAATGTTCACAAACAATGTCCCCTACAACGAAATAACTAGTGGAGTTAATAAAAACTGCACTTTTCCATTTATCATCAAGTACTGATGACAATGTACAGGAGGAAAATGAAGGTTAAGCGATTAAGTTATGTAATTTAGACAATTCAAAAAAACACTGAAAGTATCCGTCTGAATGGCAAATACTTCCTCTTATCAGTTGTCAATGAAGCATTTCATTATCAACATTTTTATTCAAGCTAAGTTGTAGAATACTTGATTTCTTAACTAGAGAAGTTCATTACGGTAAAAATCATAGACTTGAATTTAAATAAGATAGTGAGAGTGGTAAATAATGAACAGTTACACAATTTTTTTTTTACAAAAAAAACAACTTTGAATAGGGGGCTTTGTAAGAACTTTATTCGAACAATCTTTTTTACTGAATAAAGACTAGGGCTATGTTTACATTTAAAAAGTTGTCTTATTCTTGCTAAATATTATTTTAAATCTGTTAAGCTCGTCACTTGGTATGCTTGAAGCTATTACGAGTTCACCCTAGTCGATAAAAACGAACGAGACAATTACTAGCGTTCAGATAGGCTATCTTGAATCCCAAGCTGTAGAACAGAAGTCTTGGTAAGCGTAAAAAGTATATTCTACAACACCCAGCAATCAAAATACAATCAAGCATACAACTCTCGTTTATTTATACATCGTAGAAACGTCCTTGGAATAGTTACGAAAACAGCACACTAAAATACACAGCAGCCAATCACAACCATGGGTTTTCCTGATGGGAAATGAAATCTCGAGGTCAACTGGTCAGCCCATGCTCGCAAACGTAAAATCCAAGATAAGGCATTTATCAAGCGAGTTCTGGGGATCTAACATCCCCAACAAAATCACTATGTACATTTACACTACTGGGTTGATTTAATTCGCGATATTGTGTGTCAACTAACAACTATCCAACGTAATTATCGACAACCATTTCACTCCCAATATATCCGAACTCCACTAATAATCAATTGCACTATCAGCTAACAATAGAAAAACACTAGACTGCCTGTTTCCTATGCTAGACAGTTTTATCTACCGATGATAGTTACGTTAAATTGAAATTGAAAATGTGTATTACTGAGTTGTTTTTTTCGTTTAAGCCAGTTTTATAATCTAACGGTCAAATATTTAATGCGACACTTGGTGATAGTATCAATCCTTGGTACAATCGTGAACTCATGCTGCTGAGAAGTCAGAAACAGCTATTATCCAGTGCATCTTGGGTATTCGATAGTTGGCTAGTCAAGGTCAGTCAGTGTATGTGGTGATGTAAACTATGGACTTTGACGATCTCTTCACAAACTCATTAGATCAATATAATGAGGAAATTTCAATTCAAATCAGCTAAGAAAATATAAAGTTACACAGACTGTTAGCCACAAACTGGAATTAACTAAAAAAAAAATTAGAGAGCAGTGAACAGTAGTTATGTTGTCTTAGTTAGGCATTATTTCAATCTACAGTATACAAATATTTCAGTCAGTCAGTCAGTCAGTGATTCAGCCAGTGACAACATAGTACTTGGTACGTAAGTACATACGTACATTAATTCAGTTTGCCATATCTTCAGACGCTTCCGGGAAATAAGTAACATTTCTTGGAATTTAGTCAGTTGTTTTGCTCAAAAATTCCATTTTATGTATTTTATAATGCTTGTGTCAGTCAGTCAGTCAGATGTAACGTAGAACTTGGTACGTAAGTACATCAGTTCATGTTGCCATACCACATCGGGACAGAGATATAATTGTCAATTCAAATCCAATCGTAGTAGAGGTATTAAGGGAATTTCAAAGCTTCGCTAGTTAGTTAGTGCAAGCAAAATTTTAATCTCAAAAGAAAAAAAAAACGTAAATATAATCTCACATTTCTATTTTTATTTAAATAACGAATAGCTGCATCGGTTAGAAATTCCCATCCTTTATCTTTATGCGAATTCGGTGTTGAAGCACGAACAGTTAATACAGCATTCAATAATAGTACACCTTGTTTAGCCCATCCAGTTAAATCACCATGTTTTGGTGGCCAATTACCAGTGGAATTTGTCAAATTCATCATACTTGAACTAATTTCTTTGTACATATTGATAAGACTTGGCGGTGCTGGTACTGGTCGACATACAGAAAATGCTAAACCATGTGCTTGTCTTGGTCCATGATATGGATCTTGTCCTAGAATTACAACATGTATATCTGTTGGTAAGCATAATTTAGTCCATGTGAAAATCTGTAGAAAAAAAAACAAAGATAAAATCCATAAAAACCAATCATTTAGTTGGGAATTTTTTTTTTCTAACAAAGGAAACAAACGGGCAAATTTACTGGACCGTTGTAAGTATTCCATGTAAAAGTAATTTTACGCTATGTATTTGGTTCAGTTTATCGAATAATTAACTAGTTTAGGCATAAATTGAAAGTACTTGATACTATTAACTTCTGAACTGAGCTATGTTAGTACATGTAGACTACAACTCACATTCAATAGTGATGTCACATGGATTGGTAAAAACTAGAAGAATCCAGTGTAAGAGAGAAGTACAGTTTATAAATGTTGCACAGAGTTCGAATAAGTTATGTAACATAGATGAAGAGAATGTATTCATTATAAATTAATATTTTCATATCAGGTAGTCAGATGCGAAAATCGAGAAACCTTTAAAAATCTCTAAAGAAATACTGAGAATGTTAGAGAAAATATTCTTTCTTCAAAAGTGTCTAATTGTTTTTAGTGAGTGCTATGAAAAATATACAAGTGTGAAATTATTGTAATGCAACTATGCTACTACTGAAAAGTAATCAGTATTGATTCTCTTCTCCAGTAAACTATTGGTTACAGATTAATTGTTCTCTTATTGGTTAACACATTACTAAAACACTCTATTTTAAATGTCACATTTGTCAATATGTTTCTCACTTTGAAATTGAGTTTAACTTGAGTTATTAAATATTCAAATTACTTGTGAAAATTATATTTGAAATAATTTGAACGATTGAAATTTTAGATAAAATTTCATCGTGATTATTTATTATACAATCTAATATTTACAATAGTCTTTTGGTGTTAACTGATATCTGGTGCGTTATTTCGGTGAATTTGACACCAGGAAAACCTTCAATATCCCCCATACTGATGCAATACCGAATGCGTACAGTATTGTGTTTGCCAACTTCCAACTTGTTGGTCAAATCATTACTGATAAAATTAAGTTTGGAAAGTCGTTTGTAAGCAGGACTCTAGGGAGAAACTGACTAGATCTGAGGAGAATATGAAACAGTAAGAAAGTCGGAAATTCTAACCGAGAAATTTCGGGAATGTATTAAATGATAGAAGTAGAGGTGGGGGATAGACAGATGTATGACAACAAGTTGAGAGTATTTTGATGACCTCAGATCACGTATTTGTTGGACAAATTACTGAAGTCACCAGATAGTAATATGAACATTCGACAAATATTCTAGATTATCAATAACTGTTTACTGGTGAATTAAATATCAGTTGTTTGATTGGTTAACATGATAATTCACGTAAAACAAGAGACAGATTTAGTGACAAACGTTTAATAAACCACTGAATAAATTATCTAAACTGAGACACTTCGTAATAACACAAGATTCATCATAAAACTATGGAAAAAAAAGGATTAAATGACGAGATTATTATGGTCCAATGAATCATTCAATAGTTCACTGCATGGAAATCAATGAGAGAAAATACGCTCTGGTGAATAATGTGAATTTCAAAGTGTGTATTAATTATGTTCTTTTATAATTGAAGTTCCAAGTCCTCACTTGGAACCCTCAAGGTCAAAGGAAAAGAGGAAGACTGAAGAACATATCACAACGGAAATGGAGACAGACATAGGAAGAATGAACAACAATTGGATAGAACTGAAAAGGGAGGCACAGGACAGAGTAGATTGGAGAATACCGGTCGGTGGCTTATGCTCTATGGGGGATAATAGGCGTTAAACGTTAAATTCAAAGAAGCCAGATCTTAATTTCCTCTATGAGCATGGTAGCAAAGCTTATTTACAACAAAACATCTAGGATCATTGAAATGCAAATAATGGCCGAAAGTAGGCACGATGATATCCTACAGCTGAATTTCATGATATTTCATATTTGTCAACAAGGCGGATCTGTTTATTTATTGATTTAGACGGCAACATCGATACAAACAAATACTTAAACGTACATATGTGCTACACTAATCACTGCATTATTGAGAGGACTGGGATTTTGTCCAGTTGCTCGAACCGAAGTAGGTGTTTTTCTCAAAGGGTCACTCCCTGAGACTTTGACCTACAGATCTAGTCAGTCAGTTAAAAAATAGAACTCCGTACGTACGTACGTATATCAGCTCAGGTTGCCATACCACATTAGCACAGAGATGTAACTGTCAATTCAAATCTAATAGTAGTAGAGGTAGTTATGGTATTAGCAGTAATCAGAGATTAGGATTAGAAGATATTATTCAAGAAGTGGAATCTAGTGAAAGAAACATAAAAAGATAAAGGTAATGAGGAATTCAGAAGGTTAGGACTTGAGAGAACACAAAGAATGAATACACCTGCACCACTGTAAACGGTTTCGAGCCATATCATTCAGGGTCTCTAACCATCGATTACTATCATCTTGCGGCCCCCAACCAGGTAGTCGACACTTAGCGACATGATACAGTCTAATTGTCAGTGACTCCACGGATTCTTGCCATGTTTTGGTCTGACCACACCTAGCTTTCTTCCAACCTATTCCTACATCGCGAAACACCGCTCGACGAGGCAGTCGGTGGTTAAGCATACGTGACACATGTACCAACCAACTCAACTGATGAAGTTTCAATACTTCATCTATTGATCTGCTACCCTTACCTAGTACTCGATTCCTAATGGCAGCATTGCTTACCCGGTTGTCCCAGGATATACGAACAATGCTCCGAAGACATTTATAACCGAACAGTAATAACCTACGAATATCCTCAACTCTTACCGGCCATGTGACCAATGTCATCTATATGAAGTCCTTCTCAGAGTGGATTGAATTTTATCGATAAAATTACAATGTGGTCACTAGTGAAAGCAACTTATACATCATACATACTGTGTTGAGAATTAGGTTGCCGGCTACAAGTAGCATCATCACACGCATCAGTGCGTCAGTTCTTGTTGCCAAGAGACAGCAGAACAACAAGATAAAATTATTTTAAGGCATGTGCCAAACTAATGAAAGCAGTAACAGTAAAAACAAAAGACCGAGTATTAAAAAAATATAGAGAAAAGTATTAGTACATTTCAATATTCAAGTTCTACCAACGATTCTGAACCATGTCTCATAAATTCTTTATTGAATAGAGTTACGCGATAGCCATAAGGACCCAAATCAAGTTTCATAGTTTGGTTCCTCTGACCAAGCTCTCTCTTAACCTACACAACTACATCAATCACACATCACCCCTTCAGGTAGTTTTGGTAGTTAGTTAGGCATACCGTAACACATCTTCACCACTATTATTGATTAGAGATTTAATAAATAGCAATGTGCAATAAGAATCTGATCAAGTTCGACATTAACACCGTTAGATACCGGCTCAGTGGTCTATCGGTTAGGGCGTTCGCGCACAATACCGAGGGTCCTGGGTTCAAATCCTGCGGGGTGCAGGAGTCGTGGATGCGCACTGCCACTGAGGAGTCCTATACCAGGACGAAACGGCCATCCAGTGCTTCCAGGTTTCTAATGGTGGTCTAACAATGATCGGTTCATGGTTTCAAAAATGTGTAACTTAACTAATCTTCACAACCCCGTAATGCGAATATATAAGAATCTATATATATAGTGTAAATGCATACTTGTTCAATCGGTGGATAAATTGTCATTCCATTGGTTTGTTCTTTATGAATAAAATCAGCTAATTGTTGAAATTTATTATGTTCAATTTGTTCCAATAATATACCGAACCATTCATTTGATATACCTTGAATTAAATGTAGAACATTTTTATTAGATCGATTAGTTAGACGTCGTCGACACTCAGCGATCATTTTATTTACAGCTACTTTATCCAATTGTGATAATTTGCATAAAGAATTTCTGTTTTGAATTAAATTAGATGAATTGTTGTTTAATGGTGATGATAAAGGTTTGAGAGTTGGTATTTTAGCTGTAGAGAAAATAAAAATTATTATTATGGATTGATTGATTGTAGGAAGGGAAGTGTAGCGAGAGAGTTTATTTTTCAAGGAAATTATTCAATAACCTGTATTATTATTTATTTAGTTTAACTCACCAAAAAAAAATTAGATTGTGATTCCATCCTATAAGAAGGCAACAATATCAGTGGTCAGTCAGATGCAACGTAGAACTTGGTACGTAAGTACATCAGTTCAGGTTGCCATACCAATTCAATTCAAATCCAATAGCAGAAGAGGTAGTAAGGGAATTAGATGTAATCGGAGAGGTTAGGGTTAGAAGATACTATTCAAGGAGTATGATTCAGTGAGATAAGTTTAGAAAGTCAAAACTGGAGGTGTTGAAGAATCCAGAAGATTAGGGTTTGAGAGAACACAAAAAATAAATGCACCGGCGCCATTGCAAACGATTTTGAGCCATGTCATTCAAGGTCTCTATCCATCGATTATTATCATCTCGCGGACCCCAACCAGTTAGTCGACAATTACTGACATGGCTCAGTCCACTAGTCAATGACTTCATGGATTTCTGCCATGTTTTGGTCTGGCCACCCCTAACTTTCTTCCAACCTACTCCTACACTAAAAAACAAAGTTCGTCGAGGCAGCCGGTGGTTCGGCATACGTGACACGTGTCCCAACCACCTCAACTGATGAAGTTTCACCACTTCATCGATTGATCTGCCATCCTTACCTAGTACTCGTTTCCTAACGACGGCATTGCTTACTCGGTTGTCCCACGGTATACGAGCAATGCTTCGAAGACACCTATGATCGAAAACCAGTAACCTACGAACATCTTCTACTCTTAACGGCCATGTTTCACAGCCATATAGGAGAACGGAGCGAACTGCTGCACAGTACACTCGTCCTTTGATTAGAACAATATCAGTGGGGTATTATTATTAAGAGTCATCAGGATAGAGCAGATATGATTTTGAAAGAAAGAAAGAAAGAAAGAGATCACAAAACACATGCGATTGTATAATATACAAATAATGATAATAATAATAATATCGTTGAAACTCCACCCTGTAAGTAAGTAAACTCTTATTTAGAAAAGTTATGATGCTTCATTTTAAAAGACCAGGAAACTGTTTGAAGTTGCTGAGGAAATCATAAGATACAACCTGAAGATGTTTAGAGCTAGTGCTTTGATGCTGTCAAAATAAACCCGAAATACAATGCACTCAGCATCATCAAAGCATCCTTCAAAACAAGGAAGGAAGGTATACAGTGAATGTCATTCATTGCTATACACCCACCAACGATATAAAAATCAAGACAATAAAGATAAATTCTATAAGAGAAGAATACCAGAAACTCTAAACAACTGTCAACCAAAATACCAAAGTCACAACTTTCAATACAAATACAACTGGGATTCAGGGAACCACGAAAGCCACTATCTAAAAGATACAGGTATTTATTAGCATTTGTCTATCTATGCAAGTTACTGTCGACCTGTTGATCGGATACAATCAGCAACAACCTAGCGCGGGAGAAAACAAACAGGGTCCTAGCAGAGGACAAAGCGCTAGAGATGGATAAGACACATGTTTTGGAAATGACCAAACTGTGTAATCAGGCATGCTTTACTTTGCAATTTTCAAGGCAAACGAAAAGGAAGGTCAAACAACACATTGTGCCAACAGTTAGATAGACATTAAAAGCACCAGTTACTCTCAAAAGCACCTGAGAGTAACTGGAAATGACAGTCCAGAACATAGTAGTAGGAGAGAGATTGCTGATCAGTGAATTATGTTCTACGAAGGGGTATGCGAAAAATTTTGTTTTATATCTTTTTAAGAAAACCTGTTAATCAATAACTGTGAATATCAGGTAAACTATAAACTCTAATAGAAATGTATTTCATTCGTATGATAAAATAAGAGCATTTAGCAAAGTAACAAAGAACACAAGTACACAAATTCCTATCAAATAATCGAGTTCAAACACAATAAGAAATAAGTAATCACAAAAAAATGCATAATATCGAATCACTAACTAGTTGATGGTGATGAAACTGTCGTATTAGAAGAAGGCGATTTATTCTCGTCATTGAATGGAAGTTTGGAAGGTGGATCAGAATCGTTGGTTTCACATTCTGATGAACTAAATTTCCGTTTTAGATCCCCTTGAATCGGTGTTGTTGATGTTCGAGAGAAAAATGAAGTCAAAGTTTTTTGACTTGATTGAGAAATCTTACTTGATGATGCCTAAAATTCCCAAAAAGAAAATCTGAAATGTTATCATGGAAAAAGAGGAATATATATAGAGGCTAGAATAAATAATTGACAAATCACAACGGGATTCTATCTAAAAAGCTATGATAATATCCCTATCTGTTTCTTCATATTGTAAATTTTGAAGTTGGATAGATTGATGAGTAAATCAACAGTAAAGTCCTTCAATTTCAACAAAAAAGCACAATGATTTTTCATCAAAATCAGTAAATGTGTATCATCAATCGATCACAAACTTTATGCGGTTTCTAACACAATTAACCATTGAACTTGGAATTCAATGTTTTGGATATCTACATATGAGATCTGCGAGTGGATAAATAGATAGATACTGAAGGCTAGTACCACTGGAATATTAGAATTCTCATTGAAGACTTTCAGAACAATAAGCTGATTAATTTTATGAATGCCATGACAATTTAATCAAACGCATTAAATAAAATGCTGACGTTAAAGAATTTGTCTTATTCTGAGCAAGCAAAAGATGATCTGTTGTCATTTATTATGTCATAAAAGTTAGTAGTTATATTTCGATAAATAAATTCATTTAAATATGTAATAGAAAGCTGTGAATTCCCTCTACTAGACAATTCAAGATAGAATAACTAGATAGGATTTAACAATGCTAAAGATGACTGATATTCATACCCATTTGATAGGCTGGTCATTGAACTACCACATAATAATAATAATAATAATAATAATAATAATAATAATAATAATAATAAAAGTAGATTATGCTCAGTCAGTAAATAGAATGTTATTGAAGAATTCGATACAAAACTACTGGATGAGATTGTCGAACATTTCCATTCTGATTGAAGATAAAGTTTAGAGATTCATTAGTCGTTTCCACCACCAACGACCCCCCCTACACCAGTTATCAACAAAATGCTTAACAAACATACATATTTGAGTTAATTTAGCCACATATCAGTTCTGCAATGACTCGTTGGATAAATATATATATATATATATATATATATATATATATACACACACACACAGCGCATGTAAAGGTAGTTTTATATCATTCAAATTAAAAACAACTCATAGGTAAACAGACAGTATACATATATTGAATATATTTTTTTTTTACACAAATAGTCAAGAAGAAGCAATGAAGCAGTTGAAATAATCGGCATTTTGTTACAGTGTTAGACATTGAAACTATGAAAAATCAATTAGTCAATTGAATGAATTCATTATGTATCCATTTGATCGATCATTTTATTGATAGACAATATGATAATCGCATGTGCAAACACTCTACCACAACAGAGTAAGCAAAAGTTTACAATTGATCCGTTCACATCCGTTCACACAAGGACATTTCATGTGTGTACAACTATCGGAGACTCAAGATATGAAAATACACCACCACCACCAACAACAAGAACAACATGTTGCATAGAAATGGAACAGAATATAAATGTGATCGAAATTGTAGCACCAATGAAATGTAATCACAATTGATAAATGCCCTTGTGTGTGTGTGTGTGTTCTCATTTTCGACCAACACACATCTTCTAAATGTAAAAATCGATGCCAACAGCGTGAATTCATAATTTTCTTTTTTTTAAAAAAAAAGATATATCACAAAAGTTTGTACTACCACTAGCAATATAATAACATCATAACAACGATCTCATCAGACTGATAACTCCTAGTTAGTAGAGAGAGAGAGAGAGACAACAGCAGCACCGGAAAAAATTACCAAACATCAATAAATAATAATAATAATAATAAATAATAATAAAGCAAGAAAGACTAGAAAATTTTACGATACAAATTCATCAAAATATTTTGTTTTGTTTTTTTTTCTGAGTAAAGCGAGATACAAAAACGAACTGAAGATAACACAAGAAAAGAGAAGAAACACAGCAGAAGTGATAACCTTGTTTTGTGAAAAAAAAATTAAAGTAAAGTAAAGTAAATAAGTAAATGTATTCAAAATGTAAAAAATAGCAAAAAATAATAATGAATTTTTTTTGTCAATGAAGCACATAAATGAATGAACATAATGGATATGATATGATATGATATAATGTGATATGATGTATAATTTGTTATAGGTCATTTTAATAATCTTCACTGTGTAAAGCAATAAAATGACAATCACATCCGACATGATAATGATAAGCATGTGTATACATGTGCATTGTAATGTTGAGTTGATTCGATGTAAACTAAATAAAGGAAATAGAGAGAATTGTTCATTTTCATAGAGTATTTTTTTTCTTCTCTTATATCAATTATAATATTTCACATGTCTGTAACAAAGGAAAAAAGGAAAATATAATAATGAAACAATGAAACGAATACAACATTAGTGATCGGCTTCCACTTAGGTTACATTTGTGAAATTCATTTCGTTAATCGATCGGTCTCATTGACTAGATTGAATGTGATTTTTTTATTGAACCGAGTTTTAGCATCTATATTAATTCCAGTGAAGTTTTATTTAAAGTTTCAGAGGAATCATTCAACTTCGTCTGAGAAAACTATAACATGATCATTCATGTCCTTCTGCACACAATTATGTAAAGTATGAAGGTTAGTTACATACAGTAATGCATTCATTTAGCCAAGCGCATACAGTGACTGTCAATAAAGCTCTGCTTATCGCTTTCTGGTGACGGTTGTATTGTTTACAACTGACTGAATCATCTTAATAAGTGACTATAACTATTGTGAAATATGAAACATATCTTTCGATCTCAGTTCATCAGGACACATGCAGTTTCGTATACCCAGTGTAGCCCCATACGGAGTTACCGATATTATTAGATTATATTTAAACACAATTATTGGCACGAAGGGGTACTTAAATATTTATGTGCCACGCAAACCAGTGCCTTTTTGTGTGGGCAGCGATACTGACTGGACCACTCTTTGAACCTTTGACCTACAAGTCTAATCCATGAGGCGATGGACACCGTCAGGGGATCCAGTTCCATTGTGACGAACGAAGACGGTGAGACCAGATGGAATAAGTGACTTATTTGGAGGAGATACAGTTTACTGGCCAAAACATCCGTTAGCAAAACAACAGGATTATTGACAGTCTTCTTTCACATGTCTACTAGTACTCAAACCACTCTTATTGCATCATCCATTCAGAACCGATATTCTTCGCTTCAGCACTAACTTCAGGGCAACACACCGCCTCATTTCCATGATTATTATCTGTAACTTTAGCCTACTTGATGATATACACTTCTTGAAGAATACTAACAATAGAAAGATACAATTGTTTATTGATATTTTGTGTTTCAAACAGTAATAAGTGATATGTGACCAAATCAAATCGGTTATGGATAACGATTACATTCATTTCATCGAAAAGATATGATGCTGGGCATCAAGGGAGAGGCCATCATTCGTTTTCTTTATTTATTCGAAATAACCTATTAACTAACCAATGTAGAGTTATGGTGATTACTGTTTTTACACATTTGAAATCATCAATCAATCATTGTTAGAGCACCATTAGAAACTTGGAAGCACTGGACGACGGCTGTTTCGTCCTGGTATGGGACTCATCAGCAGTGCGCATCCACGACTCCTGCACCTCGCAGGATTCGAACCCGGGACCTTCGGTATTGTGCGCGAACGCCTAACCATAGCATCATTATCAAACAAATGATGGCGAAAAAAAGGACAAGGGAAATCAGACTTATTGAACTGAATACACAATTTGCTGATGATGATGATAATGTACACAAAGAGTGAGGAATTTAACAAAAAAAATAATCCGATTAAATAACTTGTTAAATAGGAGGTTCAGACTACAATTCTGCCAGAGTTATATGCATCAGTAAAGAATGCCTTAAAAAGTGAGCTAATAAGTATTATGATATGATTAATACATAAATTACTTACATATGCACGTGATCCTTCTCTCGAAAAATGGGACTAAAAAGAAAAAGATTGAGTGATTAGAAATTATGATGTCGATTGGTTGAATCAACAAATATGAGTCCTAAAAAAATTACAAGCTACTGGTTTTTAGACACGAGTTTAGCGTCTACAATGTGCTTAGGGAGCTTCCCAAGGAATCGTCGGAAAAGTTTATAGTGGTTCGGGAAACGCTTAGAAAGATTGTATTTAATCTGTGTCAAGTAGAACCATCATAGTAGAAGCATCTAGAGAACGAGGAGTCATGGTTTTCACTGGATATTTACCTATTCTCCTACTATATTGATTTTCTGTAAATAACCTAGCCCATAGAGTAAATCGTTCTTCTTGAATAACGCGCCTTTCTCATGTCTACAAGTTGTCATGTAGATTTAAGTCTCGCGCTATCTAGGAACGGCTAGGGTATAAGGCATTATTATTATTATTGTTGTTGTTTAAGACCACGAGGCACTGAAATTAAACACATCATGAAGCTACTTTAGATTGTTGATCGTTTCACTGTATTATCCATTAGTAATGCTCACAGAGTATTTTTTTAAAAGTCAGTCAGTCAGTCAGATGCAACGTAGAACTTTGTACATAAGTACATCAGTTCATGTTGCCATACCACATCAGCACAGAGAAGTAATCGTCAATTCAAATCCAATAGTAGAAGAGGTAGTAAGGGAATTAGAAGTAATCGGAGAGGTTAGGATTAGAAGATACTATTCAAGAAGTATGATTCAGTGAGAAAAGTTTAGAGAGTCGAAACTAGAGGGGTTGAAGAATCCAGAAGATTAGCATTTGAGAGAACACAGAGAATAAATGCACCGGCGCCATTGCGAACGATTTTGAGCCATGTCATTCAAGCTATCTAAACAACGATTACTACAATCACGCAGACCCCAACCAGTTAGTCGACAATTACCGACATGGCTAAGTCCACTAGTCAATGACTTCATGGATTTCTGTCATGTTTTGGTCTGGCCGCCCCTAGCTTTCTTCCAACCTATTCCTACACTACAAAACAAGGCTCGACGAGGCAGTCGGTGGTTGGGCATACGCAACACATGTCCCAACCACCTCAACTGATGAAGTTTCAATACTTCATCGATTGATCTGCCATTCTTACCTAGCACCCGTTTCCTAATAACAGCGTTGCTCACTCGGGTGTCCCACGATATACGAGCAATGCTTTGAAGACACCTATGATCGAATACCAGTAACCTACGAATATCTTCTACTCTCACTGGCCATGTTTCACAGCCATAAAGTAAGACGGAGCGAACCACTGCGCAGTACACTCGTCCTTTAGTCAGCAAACGGATATCTCGCCTACGCCATAAGTGACGCAGGTTGGCAAAAGCCAATCGAGCCTTCTGTATCCGAGCTGAGATTTCGTCAGTCACCGGGCCATCGGCACTGATGAGACTCCTCAGATAAGTGAAGTGATCTACACGCTCGACTACTTCACTCCCTATCACTAGTTCAGGTGCCAATGCAACCCAGTCTTGAAGCAACATTTTGCATTTCGAGGGGGAAAACCGCATCCCGAACATGCTCGCATTGTTGCTTAGGGTAGTCAGAAGACTCTGCATTTTGTCAGCATCTTCACCAAGTAGGACAATGTCATTGGCATATTCTAAGTCAATAAGCGAGCCACCTGGTAGAAGGTCTACTCTTGAAAATTCAGACGAGGATAATGTTATGTCTAGGAGCATGTCTATGATAAAATTAAACAAGAATGGAGAAAGTGGACATCCCTGACGGACACCACTTGATGTAGAGAATTCCGGTGACAGTTCGCCATATGCCCTCACTCGACCAGTAGCCATCATCATTTAATTCCAACCTATCCTTGTCTTCTTTATTTAAGGAGGTTGATGCAATGCTACAGACTCGTAGAGATTATCATGTGTATTCATCATTTGCAATACACCGATGAGAATATACCCCTGGTGCAATACATGATATTAAGCTTTTTGTTATTCCATCAGTCAGTAGGTAACAAAACTCCTCAAACCTCCTACATTAAGTGAACTGATTGACGGACCCATCATGTATTAAACTATTTCAACTAACCATACTTAAACTACGCATCGTTTGACATAAGCATTATAAAGTACATAATGTGGAATTTTTGAGCAAAACAATTGACTAAATCCTACGAAATGATACTTATTTCCCGGAAGCGTCTGAAGATATGGCAAACTGAATTAATGTACGTATGTACGTACGTACCAAGTACTAGGTTGTCACTGGCTGACTGACTGACTCTGGAGATATATACATTACTACAATGAAACATGAAATTGAAATACTAGAGATCGTCATATGTTTCGTTGAAAAATTGTATATTGCTTTACACTTCTTTTACGATATCATACACCTCACACTGTCCATGATGTCTATGGGATGTTGTTAGTGAGACATAGATGGAATTGAAGAATGACTACATTGTTGCGCGCTGATTGGCTTATTTCCTATCCAACCAGCGCCTGATCGATACTTGGAGAACAGGGTAGAAAATTCTTGTGTTGTTAGCTGCACGCTGATTGGCTAAGTTTAATCCAGTCGATCAGGTGAATTACCATCCAGAAGGTTCTCATGTAAATACTATAAAGAAACTAACGTTGTATCTATTTTTGCCTTCGCCTCCGTATTTCCATTTAACCTTGCTATTTGGAATATAATCTTTTCCTGTTCCAACGTGTTTTTGATTCTGATGTATATTTATTATTTAATTCACTGAGCCAAAAATGCTTGGAATACAATTTTAATTCCTTTTTCAAGGTTATACCATTCAAAACAAAATCACTAACATTTATAGTGAGAAAGGAGTTTCCAACACGATAGATACAATTTAAATACTTACTTCATTTGGCCAGATATCATTGCGAACTCGTATTGAGCTAACCTGTTGTGGCAAATCAAAATATTTACCGTAACTTTCAGATGTTGTAATTGCCTGTTTTGTTGAACGTGTTATTCTTACTACTGCATTGTTGACATTGTGATCGTCTACAGTTTGTTGTTGTAGATCATTAGTTGTAGATAATTCATTAACTGAATCAACTGATGACACTTTATCACTGGAACCGTCTTTATCACTATCAGAGTCAGCAGGATCTGATGCTTTTGGCGTTATTTCTGAATTTTTAGCGCATGATTCCATTTCACAAGTGGCTCGAACCTATTGAACAGTTAAATTATAAAATGGTCTAAGCGAAAATAAGTATCACAATAAAATTCAACTAAATAGTGAAACATATGTACAGATTAACGGATATGAAATCATTGTGTGGCGATTTCTGCTGTACTTCTCTCTCTTCCGGAAATCGGAACACTAAATACAGTAAACCACAGTAAGCCGTTAATAATATTTTAGGCGTACTACTGTGTTAGAAAAAAAGAGACAGAATTCGACCAATACTGACAATTAGAGCATGTAATTATAGTCTGTACAATGATCCTTAAAGATAAAGAGATGTAGACCAAGGGACAAAATGATAAAGGAAGAAAAACTAAATATCATCTACAAAACAAATTGCTCAGACTGTGAAAAACACTACATAGGACTGAGTGGACGGCCTCTTCAGCTTCGTTTACGTGAACACCAATTAGCAATCAAACGCCACGACAATTCTTCCCTTATATCAATACATACGGACAATTATGGACACACATTTGATTGGAACAATGTGGAAATACTGGATAGGGGGAGGACAAAGAACACTAGAGAATTTTTGGAAGCTTGGCACTCAGGTTAATCAGCAATTAACAAACACATCGACACTGACCCAATTTATCAACCAATCAGAAAAATCATAGGCGACATAGGATCAAGAAACAGATCAAAAGGAGGATACAATCAAAACAAAGCTGCAAACAACGACAGATTTTAGGTCAAACGCAACCAATCAAGATGGAGGTTAACAGAACAAGAACTTCACTTCTATTTGAAGTTTGTGCTGATGATGTTGTTCAGAAGAACAATGAAAGCTCTACAACCAAAACATCCAGCTCAGAGAACGAAACATCACCAGGAAAAAATGGCTCAAATAAAAACTGAAACACAATACAAGTGAATGAATGATAGTAATACTGCTGACAAGAAAAGGTTTTAATGCATATTAAATCTTGATCAATCAATGTGAACCAACCAGGATTTTAGTCGAATTCTCACTACTTAAAATTAGTTTAATCTCAGATTAATCATTATTATTATTATCCTTTATATTTAACTAACAAACATTACAGTGTATCTGACCTTAATATTATAAACAAGACTAATAATTCTTTCATTGATTTATCTTATTGTATACTTGTGCTAAGGAGTCATACTAGATTCTCATTCTAACTCATAATTAATTTTTAGTCGCAACTCCTCACACTAATTCACAAACATAGTTCAACTATAGTAAGTGGGTTTCTTAAGAACATTTTAGTATCGTTTAAAGGTCTCCATAAATTTTGGTCTCCCTCATTAATTATAAAGGATATAAAAAGATGATAAATTTATAGAATTAAAAATACACTGTTAGTGTACTGTGGCATAACTTTTGATTCACACGATCTGCAGCTGGTTCAAACCTATCCGACCGTAGGCGCTTTTCTTTAAGTGGTGATTGGGTTTGCCTATCATGATAAACAAACCAAGCTATATTAGCTGGGACATATGTTCCTGTAGGTCTTACCATGACAGGTAGGTCAATTGGAGAACGATGAGACTAAAAGCACCTACTCAAGGTTTGATGGCGAAGTCGTAATGCTGACTGTAGAGGGGTGCAATTTCAGCAAGGTGTTTCCCTCGAACAACCAGAATCTATAGCGATGCTGCCTCCTCACAAGAAGGAAGGGTTAGAAAAGGTCGACCCTAAAAATGTCACACCTCACCCTACCTCACGTATTTCCATATCCGGTAGTAAAGCCACTTGAAGAGCGGAGATCTCACTTCAAAATCTTCCAGTAAAAAGGCCATGTATGACCGACCTCAAGCAGTTATCCCTTGGGCTTTTCAGTCACACTTCCAGATCTCTAAGACCAACACGAATCTACCTTCCCTTTCAAGTTCCTCTAGAAACACCCACAGTGTAGGCAGCCGGGAAGTGAAATCCGCCCTCATACCCTTTACAGCACACAAAATCAAGTTGGTCACAATTAAATCCTTCCTTTTGGTTCATCATGCCTAAGTATCGACCAAAGGGATTGATACAACAGATACAATTCACCAATAATCATATTTTAAAATCGAATTAAAACATTTTATTTCTCATTAAAACATCAATCATTTATGTGAATATTGAAACTCTTACCAAACCAGTTGAATCTTGTAGTGCAATTAAACTACTATAAGGATTCCAAACAGATACTGGAGTGATTAAATGTAAAATTCCAGCAACATCATACCGGGCACGTTTAGCAGAAGAGACTTGTGAAGGTTCAGATGCAAAGCAAAAAAAAACCTATACAATGAATAATTCAAAAAAGAGATGATAGATTTAATTCAATCGAGAAATCTACTGTGGTTGTATAACTTGGAATGCTGTGCTTAAAAATAGATACGATTCAACTAAAAACTTTTGTTTACTTTTATCATAATTTAACAACTCGTTTATAATTTCTGCGTACTTGAGAGTAAGCGATAATTAACACTTATTTATGCGTCAACCTGCATGAAACATGATATAGACAAACAAAATGCTATGCCAGATATGCATTCAAATTTCGATAACAAGATAAAAGCTATACCATTTATGATATTCAATTTTGGATAACAATTCATGTAAACTTGAAATTACAATTAATCATAAATGAACCAGTTTGTTCGTATAATTTGCAACAAATCATTAACTACTACTAATAGCGCGCCCATTAGTAGTAATAGACTGAAATCTTTTGTGACAGAGAAAATGTATAGGATCCCGGAACAGGATTTCATTAAATTAATCGTGGTACGGTAATTCTTTAATTCGGAGTGTATAAACATTTGCACTATAGCTTTATAGAAGACTGCATGAAATCTCTACACCCAAAATATTACTACTCTTAAAAAAAGTGAGATGATTCCGGGACACGTTATAACTTGACAGCCACTCATTAATACCGAGCTAGAAAACCACCAACCACAATATCGATTTAAACAGACCTTGGCCTTGAGCTAACCAATGAAATGCCAATCAGCACTAGTAGCCTTGAGTCACTGCACAGTTCTCATTGGCCCTCTGTGCGGTAGCTTTTCTCACTGCCCTGCCCAGAAAACGATGGTTAGCCTCTACTGTACAAATAATATATATTCCAAACATACGTAGTTCACATATATATAGACATACTCGACTACACCAACACAATAAAACAAAAAATAAAAGTTACACATAATCAAGCTAAAAAGTGGCTGTGAATAGGGGAGATTGAATAACAAGCTTGCAACAGATTACAAATAGTATATCATACAATAGTAGTTAATGGCTCACTACTACTACTAGTGGCTAGTTTCAATATGCAACTCCTAGATTTCTGTTAAGAGTCTGTGAATAGTAAAGTTTGAACTATGTCGGCTCTGAGACAGTTATCCACTGGAGACCTCGAACTCATTCCCGATGGAATCATGGATGCGGACTGTCACCAAGATGCCCCATACTATGACGAAACGGCTTTCACGTTTTCACTATTGGTTTGTGATTAAAAATATGAGCATTCTGTATCATCTTCACAAATTACCTATCCAAATACCAATTAACTAATAATCAATTTTAGACCAAAAAAGGTTGAAAGTGATGTAAAATTAAAAATCGTCAAAAAAAAAATAATTAAAATATCAGTAAATATGAGAATGGTTGATTGAAAATAAATTACATATTAACTTACTTGTAATTCTGTATGTGGCTGTAGGATTCGAGGTTCATGAAATGTATACAGTTTTACATAGTCCGATGAGCCTTCATGGGTTGGCCCAGCGTACATATGCCAATTACTTAAATCAATAGCCTGATTGTAAAATGGAAACATGCATGAAAAAAGTACGCACATGTAAACAGCTATAATAATAATAATAATAATATTTTAATACTCTAATATATCACATCATTGCATGACTCCACATAAAACATAAAAATCTATTAATATATAAATCAAACTACTTGTAACACTCACTTTTTCACTAGCATTGTAAATACGCAATAAACCCTCGCCAGGATCTGCACTAGCAAAATGTATTGGACCATCGGCACGACATGTTATACGTAATGAATTTCCAATCAAATTTGACGATGAAGAAGAAAGTGTAGATAAGCGAGAATCACGTAAGTTAAGTTCCATATTTGTTTTGGAAATTTCACGTTGCTTTATCAATGAATAACGTTGATTCATGTTAGCAGCATCTGTACCATCTAAATCAACATCATGAACACGACTACCAGTTGGTTGATATTGTAGTTTTGATGTTAATGTAGGTGTTGTATACATATCATCATTATATGAATGTTTTTTACGAGAGATATTTGTTTGAACAATTGATTTACCTGTTAAGATTCGTTTCTCAGGAGTAAGATGAAGGCTAAAAATAAAATAGAATAAAATTCACGGTTATTTTTGTCTATCTAAAAGAGAAAAAATATATTAAGAACATGGTCTTTGTGCATCTAACTCTACAACAAAATATACAATAAGCTAAGAACACTGTATGTTGTTAATAAATACGACTCATAAACTAAACACATTCTAAGGTTTACTGTTAACCTCTTAAATTCTCTAAACAAATAACCGGAATACAATTTTTTAACAAATGACTTCAATGGAATCAAACTGTAATTTAAATATGTTTAATTGAAATCATTAATCGATCAATGTTAGACTAGCATTAGAAACATCAAAGCACTGGACGGACGTTTCGGCCAGTTCGGATAGTTCACCATACATAAAAGCAGTGAGATAGCGGAGCTAGGAACCCCAACCTTAACTTGAAACGATGAATACGATATTAGGACGTTGATTGTAAAATACGGAAGTCTGATCACTGAAGACGGTGGAGCATAGGGCTGATGTGAAAAAATGACCCACGAAACACCTAGAGTCACTCGAATACATTTCATATACATCGGATCCCAGTTTATCTGGAAGTGGAAGTAAATTGTCAGGCGGGAGAAATATCGAAGGGTGGAACAAATAAGGAAACAGATAGTCCATAATATTCACTTGTCCTACTAGTGGGGAAGTCTAATGCGAATTATAGATTCTGCGTCAACTTCAGAAAACTAAACAGAATAATTGAGTTGAAACTTTGTACGATCCCAATAGTGGTATAAACTCTAGACTGCTTACATCAACCCAGTGTTTAGAGTATCGGACCTCTGGTCAGGATGTTGGAAACTACCAATAAAAACAAGCGAGATGGCACGAGTGCCTCTTACTTTCAGAAGACTGATGTACTCCGGAATTCTGAGGAACGTGAAGGCATATGGAAATGATCTAGTATATGTACAGACAAACAGAGACAATTACGTTTTGAATGGCCCATGAACCCCACCAACTAGCACATACAGGTATTGGCAATAACAGTTGACCTGCTGCGACAAAGTGCGTACTGGCCAGAACTGAAAGGAGCTATGACGAAGTATGTACTTGCCCGCCCCCAATGCTAGATTATGAAAATAAGATCGATGTATAAATACGTCTTTAGAGCTCACTGCGGTAACAACAGTTGATATATGATCAATAAATATCATGGGGCCATTTTCGCAAACATGGAACGGTAATCGGTACCTGTTGATGACAGAACATGCTACGCGTTAGATGGATGCGATTACTACTCCGGACCAACGCGGAAAGATTGTGACGGAAGTAGTAATGCAGAACATTGTAGCAGACAATAGCGACAGAACAAAATACACGTTTAGAGAGCGTCGAGCTTACATTCTACCAAGGTCAAGAGGACATCATGAGAATCTGAACAATCCTGTACCATTTACAGAACAACGGGCTAACAGTAGGAAATAACCGTGGAAAGGGAGTAACTGAGAGACGGACTTAGAGATATTACTAGCTCATTGTGCGTCGGCTCAAAGCGGAACAAAAAGGTCGTCGCTCCATTTTATTTACGGCAGAATACCGCATCTACCAGGGGACAATAAGACATAATTGTAACTGCATAGATGGATTTAACACAGTGCAAAAACGAGGGAAAACAAGCGGCGATGAACGTACGATAGGGACAGAGAATGGACGTATATAGAGCCGAGTGGTAGTATCAAAGGACGCAACAGAAGCTCTTCTCAGTAGTAGATCAGGTAAGATGGATAGGAAGAAAACGGATAGCAAGCGGTGGACTTGGTTTACGAAAACTGCTCCCGTAGTGGGAAGGACCACACATGGCCATCGTGATGCAGACCGGTTTATACCATCAAGAGAGGTAACAAACAGAAACGCGTAAGCTGTTAGACAGCTTTAAATGCTAATTCACAGAATTGATGGATCAAAACCTACGGAATAGCCATCAACGATAGAACTACAGAGACCAGCCCGTAGTCGTACGACTACGACTATGAGTGTAAGGTGTAATCGATAAACAAACCCACCAATGATAGTAGCAAGCGTCCACTACCACATTCACCGACTAACTTGTCGAGCCATGTCTTGTGGTGTAGGAATAGGTTGGAAGAAAGCTAGGGTCGGTCAAATCAAAACATGGCACAAATCCACTAAGTCACATGGCTCAAAATCTTGTGCAATAGCAAAGGCACATCCATTCTGTGTTCTCTCAAATTCTAATCTGAATTCCTCGTCACCTTTATCAGTCTCTTTTTAAGTTTATTTCACTAGATTACACTTTTTGAGTAATATCTTCGAACCCTTATCTCTCCAAGCCCTGCTGATACTTCTACTACCTCTACTACAATAGGATTTGAAGTGACGATTGCGTCTCTGTGCTATTGTGGTATGGCAAATTGAATGGATGTACGTACGTACGAAGTTCTACATTGTAACTGACTAACTGATTGACCACCACCACCTTGACCTTGTATGACTCTGTCTAATTTATTCACCAACCATAATCATTGACGTTCGTCAGAAACGGTATTGAATCAGCTGGCTCATTTTTCCTGTCCTCCAGCTACTGTTCGGAATGTAATTTGTGTTGGTCTTTTTCCTCTTTAATAGAGTGTATTAATTCCTGTTTTCTGTATACTATTGGTGTTAGTTTAGGTTTTAGAAATAGACAAAGTTTACCAAGTCAAGTAGCTTACCTGCTCTGACTTTGGTTAAACTAAGACTCGGCGTTCGACAGCTTAAGGGTTAGCTTCAAATTGCATGTGTAGTAGTTATTTACTTCCTATGACTACCACTCAGCTTCAAACCTGGAAATTAATGATTACAATTTGAGAATTTTAATCATTAAGCTGTCGCTTCAACCAAGTTACTTACAGGATATGCTACTACAATTTACTTCATATAAGAGAATTCATTTGCACTGAAATATGACTCTGAAAGTAAATAATGTTGATGCTTTCAATAAGTAGAGTGATGTTTAAGTCAATGATCTAATTACGAAATCATAAGCTGATGAAGACGACAAATAAATTAAAAACTTACCGAGATTCTTCACTTTCTAACAATTTTCTATACATTGCAAGCTCAGCATCTAACTGAATTTTAATCCCAGCTAATTCAGCACATTCAGTTGATTTGTCCGCTAGTAGTCCTAATAAACGTTCTATTTCTGACCGATGTTCACTGGCTATTCCATGTAATTTATTATCAGTAATTTGTAATCGTTGTTCAAAATCTTTCAGTTGTTTACGACTAGCTTCCAATTCTTTACGACAATTATCTAAGTCATTTGTCTGAGACGCTATTAATTGAGATAAGTGTTGACATTCAAGAATTTTGTTTTTAAGATTTTGTTCAAGTGAATTTGATCGTAATTTTTCTGCATTTAAAGTTATCTTACAATTTACCAAGAAGGCAAGAAAAAATACAAAAAAAAACACAAAACAAAAGTTTACTTTTCAATCACTTAATGAAAATATTTATCATCTGTTGTACAGTTAAATTCAATACAATATCTAACAAAATGTTTAGTTGATTCAACAATCTATTGATACGTCAGCTTCTACTACAAAATTGATGAAAACTGGAATTTGTATGTTTGCATTACGGGGTTGTGAAGATTGTTAAGTTACACATTTTTGAAACCATGAACCGATCAATGTTACACCACCATTAGAAACCTGGAAGCACTGGACGGCCGTTTCGTCCTGGTATGGGACTCCTCGGCAGTGCGCATCCACGACTCCTGCTAGGGTGCCATTTACAATCAGATAGAATCAATTCCTCCTAATATGGAACTACGCAGAAGTACACATGCACGATCCGGTTAGGTATCGAACCCATAAGCTTTGGCACTCATGGTAAACGCTTAGCCATTAGAAACATGTAGTCAATTTCCACAAGTACAATTTTAACTCCCATCATCAATTAGATTACTAGTGGGGGGCCGTTGGTGAAAACTGTCGATGATGAAATAACTGTTTAATATGCCCTGATTCGCAGTTCTACTTTAAATACGACCAATCTGGTAGGAACACAATACACAAATTACACAAATTTCCTTAAAATCCCTTGATCAAAAATTGAAATCGTTCAGTAACTATGTTTTACGTTATTTTCAGACTGATACTGGCCATGAAAAGTGCTCGAAACCGAAGTTAATCAAAGCAAATTATACAACTATGGTGGATGCTACCCATTAAGTGGCTTACAAGTAGTACTCAGCAAAGAGTCGCTAAAAGGTTGCTGCAATAAGAGAAATGATTGATTGAAATGAAGAGGATAAATAGAGTATTTTGCAAACCAGAAAAGAAAAACAACCAGAAAAAATAGTCAAAAACCTGCTTACGTTGCAGATAGATAATTGAATACTATGTCTACATATTTCGCATATAAACTGGCTTCTACGAATGTATGTACTTCTTGTCATAGAAGTTGAAGGGTCTTCATTTAGAGTATTTTAGACGCCTCATGGTGAAAGCTGAGTTTTCTCCAGCGTCACAAGGCCGATGTCCTTTATGACTACAACAGCAACAATTATTATAGGTACACGGAGTGTTCGCAACAATGTGGCCAACGGGGAGGAATATTCAAGTTCCTGCGGAAATCAAACGAAATAACCTGGAGGTGTTTCGAACTAGTCGAACAAATTGGACAAAAGCTGCACAATAAGGACTAGCTTCACGATCATCAAGAAGAAAATGCGTCACACACACAATCACTTGCACTGATGCTGTCAAAATAAGCCGAAATACACTTATAGGATAGGAATATAATGCATTCAAGATCATCAAAGCATCCCTCCAAACAAGGAAGAATGATATACAATGAATGTCATTCATTGCTATGCACCTACCAACGTTAACAATCAAGATAATAAAAACCAATTCTATGAGAGGTCGCAGTCAATCGTAGAGAAATGACCAGCAAGGGACTTCACTATTCAGATAGGAAACATAAACGTCAAGGTTGGAATGGACAATACTTGATACGAAGACACCATGGGACGACATAGACTGGGAGAATTGAACGGAAACGGTGAGAGATTTGCAAATTTATGTGCCTTCAACAAAATGGTGATAGGTGACACCATATTCCAACACAAACGCACACAAGCCATATGAGTTAGACCGGATAACACTGCCGAGAACCAAACTGATCACATATGCATCAAGAAGAAGTTTTGATCTATGGGAGATGTGAGAACCACCAGTAAGTGGTGGCCAAGATGAAACTGGAGTTGAAGAAGAACTGGATAACTGAGAAAGTTTAATACAATATTAAACAGACTGGTAAAAACCATTGATAAGTTTTAGCAGAGAGTGAAGCAAGTTCCCACGAAGACCACCGTAATAATGAATCCACATAAGTCTCCAGTAATATAAAAAAATGGTTTGAGTAAAGAGTTAAAAAGTCAATGGGACGTTCGGGAGCGGTGATAACCACATAGTATTTGCTAAAAATAGGTGATTATCTGAGCACAGCTGCAGCAGACGGTCGCCATTATCTGATCTTTGAACCACAACACCATAAGATCCATCGAGGTGTCTTTCCTTTTCACTTAGTCTACCTACCTCAGCATTGAAGTTACTAGCCATTATTACTATATCAGAGCGCTTAACGTTTTGGAAGAGTTCTCAAAACTTCCTTTAAAACTCATCATTTATCTCGTCCGAGTTTCAGTCAGTGGGAGCGCAGGCAGAGACGAAAAAGATGCAACGGTGAATGTCTCTATCTTTACGAATCCTTACTGTCCCGTTCAGTCTGACAGCATACAAGCGACTGTCTACTGGGATCCAGTCTAAAAGAACTATTTGAAACTAGATTCAAAGATTAAGAGCTCCAATATATAGTTTAGAACGGGGTTTCAGGAGACAAGGAGTAACGTCTCGCTAACTCGTGTCGTTTGCATTAGCAGCGCGAGTTGATAAAGGAACGAAAGAAGGGTCGATCGTGAAGCTGAGAGAGTTATTAGGTGCAGAAAGGATTTGATTGTGACCGATTCGGTCTTGTGTGCTTTCACAGATATGAACTCCGCCAGGAGCTCTTCTGGGGCTCCTGTCGGTCCCAATCCCGGATAGAAGAGGAGGCTTGGGTACGGTGTTAAAGACCCGTCCCTCAGAAAACTAATTCGATTAGAAATGAGTAAGCTAAACACTACTAATCAATGTGTCAGAAGACAGATTCTTCCTTTCAAGACCCGTAAAATGATGTCACGTTAACAATAAACTATCTTATACTTCGTAGGCTGAAATATATTAATCACTAGCCAGTAGGACATTTGACAGCGAGGGTGAAATTTCGTAAGATAAGGTTTGTTTACTTTGGTTTAAGCCGCACATTTTCTAGAGACTCCAATCAAACTAAGCAGAACAGATTTGAACGGACAGCATACAACAGTCTAAAGTGAAGCAAACAAGTGAACATGCCACAGTTCTATTATGAGCTCATAAAGAAGACTATTTAAACAGAGGATTCGAAACGCAGGCAGCATGCTTTCTGAATTATATTCTCTGAGTTTAATGATTTAACTGCAAAACTTTCACTGTCAGCTTCTTCAAAGTGCTGAAGATGTTATCCAAATAAAGTTTAATCGTCAAAACCATCTAGCTTAAAGAACTTAACAACACCATTAAATGATTATTAAAACTTACTTCCACATTTTCTTTGATTTTATTTTTTACTTGATCATATTCTAGTGCCATTTGTGAACGTAATTCAGATAATAAATGACATAGTTTCTCATGAGAATTTGTTTCAACATTTTTGGTTATCGACACCAAATGTGATTTGATTGATTCACTATTCCAAATTTTACGTTCCTGAGAATTAAAAAAACAAGAAAACAATAATTATATATAAAAAAAGCACTAAACAACATTTATCAAAAACGACTGTTACTTATATGTTTCTAGATTTAGTGGAATAAGTTATAGTTTGTAAATAGGTTTTAAGGTAACTAACTAACTATGTTTTCGAATTATATTCACTGGCTTATACATTATTCATGCTGTCAATAATATATTTATCTAATTTTAAAGTGACTATGAATCTATGCTCAACGACTAACTACAGTTTTACGTACGTCACTTTGAGTCATATTTTTTAAGGTTGATGATACTACTTAAGCTCTTGAATCAAAATTGGTAGGACGAGATTGAAACTAAAACTCATGAGTTATAAGCTTTAACCGACGAACCATCAACCATATATCGGCATTCTTTAAGTGTGAATACTCAAGGTAGTGGGAAACTTAAAAAAATCAGGTGTCGTAATAAATTATTTCAACATGAAGAACCTTAGAGAAAACTAAGTTCTAGCTTTCTAACAACAAAACAACAGGATTATATGAATTCATTGAATTTTTATAGTCAATCAGTCAGTCACCTACAATGTAGAACTTCGTACGTATGTAGATCAGTTCAGGTTGCCATACCAAATTAGCACAGAGACGCAACTGTCAGTTCAAATCCCATATTGGTGGAGATAGTAGAAGAATTAGCGGTAAGGGAGAATATTAAGGATAGAAGATATTATTCAAGAAGCATAGTTCAGTGAGATAAATTTAGAAAGGGAAAAACAGACATGATCGGGAATTCTGAAGATTAGAATTTGAGAGAACACGAAGAATAAATACACCTGCCCCATTGCAACCGGTTTCGAATCATGTCATTCAAGGTCTCTAACCATCGGTGACTTTCGTCTCGCGGACCCCAAGCCAGTCTTGAAGCAACATTTTGCTTTTCGACGGAGAGAATCGCATCCCGAACATGCTTGCATCGTTGCTTAGAGTAGTCAGGAGACACTGCATTTTCTCAGCGTCTTCACCAAGTAGAACTATGTCAAGGTCAATAAGCGATTTCCCTGGTAGAAGGTCCACCCCTGGAAAATCTGACGAAGATAATGTTATATCTAGAAGCAAGTCTATGACAAAATTAAACAAGAATGGGGAAAGTGGACATCCCTGACGAACACCACTTGAAGTAAAGAATTCTAATGACAGTTCTCCATAAGCTCTCACTCGACCAGTGGTGTTCGAGTAGAAAGTTTATATGAGGTTAATGTACTTCCTTGGTACACCTTTCAATGGCAGACACTGCCACAGAACCTCACGATCCACAGAGTCAAATGCCGCCCTAAGGTCCATGAAAACAACTATTGTAGGACGCCTAAATGTGTGTCTGTGTTCCAGGACCTGTCGTAGTGTGAAAATGTGGTCTATACAACCACGTCCAGGTCGAAAATCAGCCTACAGGAGTGACCAGGATGAGGTCAGTTTTGTCCTTGAACATGTGATCAGCTCTAATAACTTAAAAAATCCACATGTTAATCTTAATGTTGTTTGAGAAATCCGTCCAAATATACCAAGATTTCTTCGTATCTAACTCTTGCAGATACCAAAAGTCCTTAATATTTGGCTTGACTTTGAAAAAATTGCCAATCAGAACTTAGTTTCCAAAAATAACCAACGTGCTAAGTGTCTCGATATTTTACAGAAACAAACACATAATAAAATAGATGTGTATACATGTTATTATGTATTTAATTCTGCTAGATTATGGAACGTCCTAACACTAATAACATAAACACTTGAAAACTTGCGAGGTGATAGTCTGATGCTCTCAAAGAAATTAGACTTCTGAACATGGAATCCCAGGCTCGAACCTTGCTCTCTTTCTGTTTGAGTGAACTTGTAGTATCATTAGTCCTTTTACTTACAGTGTACCTTATACCCAAACGGCCTAGTGAATGAAATAATTTATTGACTTAACTCATTTTATACACTAGCAGATAGATAGAATCATAAAGACATCAATGAGTAAGCGCTAATTGGATTTATTGAAAGTAAAATAGACTCTTTAAACAATTTCATGTAAGTACACATGTTGTTGTTGTTTAGTAATAATAACATGTAAAAAATAAATGAAAAACCAAACCTCAATAATAACTTACTTTCTCTAATAACTGATCTTTAAATTGTAATTGTTCTAAAGCTGTAAGTAGCTTATTTTTTGTATCGGTATGCGATAGAGTTTCATTTTCTAATTGAGATTTTAACATCTTATGTTGATTCATTAGAGAATCATAACCTGTTTTGTAATTCTATTATCAATAAATACATAGAAATGAAAAGTATGGTAATAATAATAATAATGATAATAATATTATAGTTATAAAATAGATTTCAAGAAGCCATTTTCCCGGAAAACAACGTAAGCATCGAGTAAATCAACGTCCAAAAGTAGTAAACCGTTTGATGTGTAGAATTGCAATCACTGTGGAGAAATGTTGGTAAGAGTTAAGCATATTCTTTATTGTATACTTCATCTAGTAGTTAGTTGTTAGTTTTTAAACATATGAACATTTGTCCGAATAGGGTACCTAAATATTTATGCGCCACACAAATTAAGGATTTTGTGAATGGGCTAGGATAACAGCCTGAATGCCTAAACCGAAGCAGATGATTTTCTTAAGAGGACACATCCCGAGTCTTTGACCTGAAAGTCTAACCCATGAGGCAATGGAGCAACATCAGATGCAGTCATATGGTAGCCCGTGACCAACAATAGGTTCATACATCATTCTTTTTGTAGGATTCTGAAGCCCATTATTTTACAATCAGGCTTCTTCAACTCCTCTAGAAGGATCCGCCAAGGTACCCACCACCAACCCGATTAAAGCACCCGATATTCGCTTTTGTCTTCTAAATTTCATAAACAATACAACCGACACGAGAAGGAAGTTAGCAAGATGTTGCTGCCATTGGCAATACGCGCGTAGCCATATGAGAGTATTCTGAGAGAGAGAGAGGACTCTACTTACTGTCAGTCATATCAGAGCATTCAGGGGCATACTTTGGTGTCATTTAATAACACGAATAGCACTTTTTTTCTAAAATTAGTCAGATGAATTACCCATACAAGAAGTGTGAACGTTTACGTATAGCGCAAGTAAGAATTTTTAAACAAAGATTGATTCTAGAAAAACCAGCTAGCGCGACTGAACATTTTTTTGAGGCCAGTCGATTCTTCATAAACGTAGAAATGGGACGTTCGGGAGCGGTGATAACCACATAGTATTTGCTAGAAATAGGTGATTATCTGAGCACAGCTGCAACAGACGGTCGCCATTATCTGATATTTGAACCACAACACCATAAGATCCATCAAGGTGTCTTTCCTTTTCACTTAGTCTACCTACTTCAGCATTGAAGTCACTAGCCATTATTACTATATCAGAGCGCCTAACGTTTTGGAGGGTTCTCAAAGCTTCCTGTAAAACTCATCATTTATCTCGTCCGAGTTTCAGTCAGTGGGAGCGCAGGCAGAGACGACAAAGAAGCAACGGTGAATGTCTCTATCTTTACGAGTCCTTACTGTCCCGTTTAGTCCGACAGTACACAAGCGACTGTCTACTGGGATCCAGTCTAAAAGAACTAGTCCTGCCCTAGGATTTAATCCAGAGAGACCACGGGAAGCATCAGTAGGGCTCCCGGATACACGAAGCGTAAACCAAATTGGTTCTCTGTCTGGAAAATGTGAAATCAAATTAATGATTCTACTCGGGTCCTGTGTGCGCGTTTCTGAGACTGCTATATTTCCCTCTCCTATTACAACCCAGCTATTCCTAATGCTTAGTATTCTCGGACACCAATTCACTCGGAACGTCCTCCCAAATCAGAACACGGTTCAACAGGAAATAGATTATATTCCAACAACAAGGTTAGAAGACAGAAGTTCAAAAGGAAAATACGTTAGTATATTTATAGTTTTTACATGTGAGGATTCTAGGATGTTTCCCCAGTGTCGACTAGCGCTCATTGAATACGAAAGAACCAATCAGCGTGCAGCAACTCAGTCACGCTTTAATCCAATCTATGTCCCGCTAACACCTCCCCTTTGAGCAGATTCGTAGGATCTGGTGCTAGGGTCCAACTGCTTCTTAGGTGCCTTGCCACCAGTACTCTTACGAGCCGCCTGGTTTGTGCGAGTCATATCTGTGAACAACCGTCTTTGTGCCACATAATGTCGATTGAACTGCTTCTTCATCGACAGGTTTCGTTGAGGCTCAAGAGCAGAGTATGGTGAAGGACGTCTCGGACGTAAAATAGGTTTGGCATCTGATTTCACTGGTAAGTGAGCTTTCATCTTGGTACAGTGGCCAAGGCTATTCTACAAAACAGAAGCAAACTTTCTCCTGAGTTTTTCTTGTAACCTTTCACCTGTCTTCTTTGTAAGAACTGGGGTGTCCAATGATGAAAACGATACGTTGCAGACTCTGTTAATGGGTAAATCCATTATTCCAAGTTTCTCTAACATATCTAGACCAAGAAGGTCAAGGTTTGGCAGTTCTGTTAGATAAAATATTCCTGTACAGTTAGTTCCATTGAAGTAAAATTCACACTGTAATTCACCAACCAGTTTTAGTACACCACCTAATGCATTTTTTGTCGTTTTCTTTGATGGCTTTATTGGCGGTTTTCCCAGCAAGTTATACGTTTCTCTAGACACTAAGGTGGTATCTGATGCCGTGTCAATTTGAAGACGAGCTGATATGCCGTTTGTCTGGACGGTAACATACTTTCTCCGAATGTCATAGTCTGTTTGAAAGGCAGAGAAAGAGATTTAGACTCGGCTAACTTCACATGTCGAGTACGTTTATGCTTGTTCTTGAGCTCAGACGTACGATTTGGTGGACAATAACCTTCTTTATGTCCATGTATGTTGCACACCTGACATTTATGCTTCTTAAATGAACAGAATCGTACAGAATGCCAACCACCACATAACCAGCATGCCGTCGTTGGTTTGTTACGAGTTGTGATCGGCTTCTGAACTTTTAACCTAGCAATAGCATTGACACTACTGCTGGTTAAATTAGGATTCACCTGTTCAACTTGTCGTGTTCAATGTTCTGAGTGTGAAGTTCGGGTCTTGATCTTGATGGCGCGAGATTCCAGCCTGTTGCCCTATCTGAAACAAGGTTCAAAGATGAAGAGCTCCAATATGTAGTTTAGAGCTGGATTTCAGGAAACAAGGAGTAAAGTTTCGCGAACTCGTATTGTTTGCATCAGCAGTGCAAAGTGATAAAGGAACGAAAGAAGGGTTGGTCGTGGAGCTAAGAGAGTTATTGGGTACAGAAAGGATTTGATTGTGACTGACTCAGTCTCGTATGCTTTCACGGGTATGAGGGCGGATGGCACTTCCCGGATTCCCACACCGTGGAAGGGTGGAAGGGAACCTGAGAAGGACATCGGATCAGTATTGGTCTTAGCAACCTAGGAGCGTGACCGCAAAGCCCAAGGGACAACTGTCACACACAGCCTTCTTATGGAAAGTTTGTAAAATCTTAATACCGCTCTCAAGTGGACCTGTCTGGCATAGTAGGACCTAAAGGAACATGTGTCCCAGCCAATATAGCTCTGTTGGGTCATAAGGATAAGCAAGCCCAACCACCACGTCAAGGTAGCAACTACAGTCGGGTATTATTGTTATTATTGGTTCAACATTACTTAATCTCTTAAATAAATGATCAATTTGCTTTACACACTCATTTTTGAAAATTTTACTGAATTTATATGGCATTATTCAGTCAACATCCAATCAAATTTGGCAACTGCATTATAATCTCTCTCTATCTGACGCATATTTATTCTGATCAGTAATGTCACAATCCCATTTAATGTGTGAACTTATTCAAGTTACTACTTCATTTTAGCCAACTTAATTTCAACACTTTTATTTCACAAACAATCCTAACTTCATATATGTTTTAATTCGACATGATGTACTTTGCCCTAAACCTGGTCATTTGATTTGATTTTAATTACCAAGCGATTATATAATAAATTTGAAATGCTTCCATTATCATACAACTTTAGTCGTTTCATGCACGAAGTACATGTTGCTGAATCGTCAGCTGAACTTACTAACTTGTCAAAGAAAATTTGTAAGCTCCCTAGTCTTAACATCCTACAAAAAGGCCACAGTTCAAATCTACTTTGAAAACAAGGCTATTAATGTAAATATAAATATATACATAACTTACGTCACATGCGATTAGCTGATTCTGTAGCTGAGACAGTTGAGTAGTTAATGATGTGATTTTATTAGCCATTTCAGTCTCATTGGATTTCGAACGTTCAAGTTGTTGAGTTGTCTCATCTAGATTGGATTTGGTTTTCTTTAACTGAATTTTAGCATCCGTTAATTCAAGTGAAGTTTTATTTAAGTTTCCGCGTAATAATTCAACTTCGTCTGAGAAAACTTTAACATGATCGTCCATTTCCTTCTGCATACAGTTATGTAAAGTATGAAGGTTAGTTACAGTCATGAAGATTATTTGGATTTAAGGATGAATAAGGTTATGAATAATAACTAGAATTTATCGTCAACTGAAGCTGTTTAAATGTCGACACGGGAGAACATAAGTGAACTCCTAACAGTAACTACTTACATTTTAAACCGATTCCAGTCAAAATGCGAAAACAGTTGCAAGAAAACTAACTTGTAGTAATATTAAAGTGTGGTGTATAACAGGATGAAGTGATACTTTTAAGTCTTCTGAATGATCTTAATAAGTGACTAGAACTATTGTGAAACATGAAACATATCTTTTGATTTCAGTTCATCAGGACATGCAGTTCGTATACCCAGTGTAGCCCCATACGGAGTTACCTATATTATTAAATTATATCTAAACACAATTATTGGTACGATGGGGCACTTAAATATTCATGTGCCACGCAAACCAGTGCCTTTGTGTGGGCAGCGATACTGAATGGACCACTCCATGAACCTTTTACCTACAAGTCTAATCCATGGGGCGATGGACACCGTCACTGGATCACAAAGCGACTCGGAAAGTATCATAAATGAATTAAATTTGGGTCATAGCTACCAGAATTTTGATAGGAAATTTACGGTCATTGAGATTCATATCGAAAGAAAGGTTGAGGAAAACTTGCTGATCAGTTATTCAAGTGAATAAAACTTTCAACTGAAGTTGGAAGCTGCATTCCATTTCAAAAACTGGTTCCGAAATAAGCATTTATTACATTAGTTTTTGGAATTGTTCGAACTATGAATATTAGAGTGCATGACCAGCAAAGGAAGAAAATCAATGGCCTTATTACGTGAATATGATCACACTGTTGGCTTTTAGGACAGAAATAAGTGATCTAAGGTTTATCATAGGTATGAGTATTGAAATCTAGGTGATAAGTTTGCATAAAACTTAACGCTAAATAAAAAAATGCACGTACTCTTTCAGTCCCTTGAATGTCTTTTTTAAACACGAAGGACTTACTTTTAAAGAATTCGTCAGAAGATCAATATGACCAGTGAACTCTTTATTGAAGATGTTCTTCTGGAGATGCTCAATATAATTTGCAAATCGGTCATTTAAATGCTGAAGCTCTTCTTTTTCTTCCAGCCGAGTGATTACTAAGGAACCGAAAGATTTCGAGGAATCCTTTTCTTCGCTTGACTCTGATGACTCGCCTTCGGGTACTGGGCGTTTAGGCATAGGTTTACGCACATTACCTACTCAAAAGAGAAAACTCTTATCACATCAAAAATAGAATACAATGTATGGTGAAAAGTTGACATGGATCTAAATACGGTTGAGTATTTCTATATTTTAGTGATAAAGGAGTATAAAAATGAAATGCTACCTACATCTCATAAAACATACACATGGCCTCAATGAGGACAAATTAATAAACAAAATAAACGCTCTGCAAATGTAACATAGCCAACCATCTAAGCATACTTACGCTTTTTAAAATAAACTATATAAATCGTCTTTCATGATTTAGATGGATGTAAGGTAAGCAAGAAACTGTCTCCATAAGTTAGAAAAGATCCATATTCGTAATAAATAGTTATCTCTGTATGATGACCGCTTTATCGGACAATCTAGCAACTATTGAAACATACAAGGGACTTGACAAACTTGTCCTAACACAAACAAACGTTTGAAACCGCATCGAACTGCAACCATTGCTGAAGAATATATTTACAGATTTGCGCATAACCATCACATGAGACATCAAGTTTTATCATCTCAAAGATCTCGAATTAATTCGGCGACTTACCAGATCTTGTGCTCGACATGATGACAGCGACAATGAAGAAAGGTGGCGCACCGTTTGAACCGCGATCCAATTAATAATATCTTTGTGATCCAATATCCAATGTCTTTTTCACGAGCTAGTGTAAACCAGTTTGATTTCTTTGCGCTCGATTCTTGTTCTTTCTGTACGGTTCCAGATGTTCGGTAATGTCCTATGGATGGAGGTCTAGCCACTCGACTGTCTAATTCTAGTCAGTTGGCAGTTGGTTGTGAGTTTGTCTGTCTCGGGATTTGAATGAAAACGTTTGTTTCAGGGCAGTAGGGTTTCTGGATACTAGCAGCCGCCACATTACCAGACCGGAGATCAGTTAGTTGCAATGTGGAGAGTAATAAGGGTAATAAGGATAAAATTCTAATGATAATATGAATAAAATTTCAGAACTGAGTAATATGTAGATGAATTTAGTTTATTAATTGGTAGTGAAGATTGTGGGAGAGGAAACAGAGATAGTAGGCGAGATAGATTAATTGAATGATCTGAGGAGATGGCAATGGTAACAACTAGGAGGTCTCAAGATATGCATGATGAACAGCTTGTCCAAGAGGGAGATGATAGTCCGTACGTGAATACGTGATTATCAAGTCTCTTCTTAAAGCAGTCCACTGAGGGGGCTGTAACTACCTCGGCTGGGAGAGCATTCCAAGTTGCGACGACCCGCAAAGAGAAAAAGTGTGCACTAATCTGAGTACTCACTCTTTGATGTGCAATATTTCGGGGATTGACTCAAGGGGATTGGTGGTGATGCATCGGTAAGATGCTCACATTGGGATGGTTTGTCGTGTTTAATATGTTGTACACCATAATCAGATTACCTCTGGTTCTCCTGTAACTCAGTGGAAATAATCCCAAGTGCTGGATTCTATCTTCGTAACGCCTATTTTTCAACCCTATCACCCATTTGGTTGCTCGTCTCTGCACTCGATCCAAGAGATTTATGTCTCTTTTAAGCAGAGGGGGTGCGATGACGTTGTGAACTTCCAAGTGTTGGCGGGCGTACGTCTTAAACAGGGTTAAAAGTAATTTCGGGGTGATAGCACCAAGCTGTCTTCGCATAAAGTGAAGATTCACATTTGCCTTAGCTGCATCCCCTACATAGTTTGAACTGGTGTGGAGGCTTTCTGCGGTTATTAAGCCAAGATCGCGCTCTGAGGAGACATTAGGGAGCGGACTTCTATTGAGGGTATAGGTCGTTTGCGTCATATGGTGCAGGGAATGAATGACGTGGCACTTCGGTTGGTTGAGTTTTAAACCGTTTTTCACTGCCCGTTTCTCAATAGATGTAAGGTCCTTTTGAAGCTCAGTCGAATCCTCTTCGCTTCCAATGGACCTCCAGATCTTCGCATCGTCTGCGTAGATCAATGCCGGCTAACTAACTGTGTCTAACAGGTTGTTAATTTATATCAGGAAGAGAAGTGGGCCTAAGATGGTCCCCTGTGAAACTCCCGATTCGGATGCTCGCCAGTTCGCGTGCACTCTATTTACCTTGGTACGAAACTTTCTATTCTCAAGGTAGTTTCAGAGTCAAGATTGAGGTGGGTCAGTGAAGCCCATTTCCACAACCTTTGCGATTAGGCGTGTGTGGGGTACTGTGTCAAATGCTTTTGCAACGTCGAGGAATATTACGTGTACCGGTATTTTATGGTCTAAACAGGATTTCCAACTGTCCCATGCGATGAGGAGATTAAATGCACACGACCTGCCTTTACGAAACCCGTGTTGAGCATCATGGAGTATTTTATTCTTTTCCATGTACTCCCTCATTTGTTCGTCCACTAGCCCTTCCATTAACTTCGATAGTAGTAATGCAACTGGTCTGGGTCCTTTCTATCTCCTCCTTTGAAGATGAGAGAGATAGTAGCTTGTTTCCATTCAGCTAGGAATTGATGTGACTGCAGTGAATACCTGAACAGGTCGCATAACGGTGAACAGAGGACTTCAGGACACTGTTGCAAGTCTATTGGGCGGATTTTGTCACAACCTGATGACAACCTTAGTACTAGGTCAGGAGTGATACGGATGTTCCCTAAGCCGTCAGCTGGCAATTGGATGGCGTAATACTCCGAACATGTAGGCGCCTGGTTTAATTGATCAGCAAAAGTGGTGTTGAAAATCTCAGCCATCTCTAGGTTGGTGAGGTCTTCCCCGTTTGCTCCTTTTAGAGAACACAACCCTTGATTAGTAGGTTTTCTTTTCGACATGAACCTAAACAGATTTTTCTGGTTTGCCTCTATTTTGGTGGCTAGCTTCGTCTGGAATTGTCTCCTATCACTTCGAACTTTGGTATTTCATCTGTTTCTCAATGCCAAGTAAGAACTGCGATCGGAATCCTTCAAGGAGACCTTCCACTTGTGCCAGGCTCTCCTCTTCGCCTGCAGCAAGCGTTCAGCGCCTCGCCTAACCCGGGTTCTTCTGTTCCCGCGTTTTTGATGTGACTGAGGTACATTGTCTACGACAGCATTCTGGATGATATCTCTCACTGCTTGCCAGTGATCATCTACTGTCAGCATCCACGACTCCCGTGCTCATGGAGCATGTAGTAGGATCTCTCTCATGCGTATGTAGTTTGCCCTATTGTAGCAAAGGTAAGGCTCGTTATCGTCCCGTGTGTGTTTCGTTTATGACCATGTTACACAAGGCTGTGCCATGTTCACTACTACCTATTGATGCGCGGACGTGAACATCCTCAGCCAGGAGCTGGTCATTAGTTAACAAATAATCCAGGCTTGCGGACTTCCCTTCTTTAGGCCACTTATTGACACTGCATGCGTCCTCAGTCAGCCTAGAGCTTCTAATTGCTGTACAAAGTTGTCTTTGGAACCAACCAGTGGGAGTTATACTCTGATTGCTGAAATTTAAAGATGGGGTATTGAAATCTCCAGCTACGAGTATTTGATCAAACCCCAGGAGTGGCATTTGCAGTACTACCACAATCAGGGGTGAAGATATTGTAAATGTATTTCTACAGTGGCCGTCCCAATTGGTTCCAATAGAGGCACTCCTGTACGCTTTCCCCAGTTCCGGGTCCCAACCAATTCAAAAAGGACAAAATTCTAGGAGAAAACGTCTCTGTATTAGTTAAAAAATGGAAATACAAAGCATTACGGATATAGTGCTTCTTCCAGGGTAAGGTTACTCCACAGAGTATCAGACACAATAACAATTAAGTGACGCTAAGTCCAGCGGCCACTGCGTCCGTCCAAAAATGTGGCGGTAGCCATATTATATCAAATTTAAACAACATATGTACAGTTCAGAAGCAAACACAAAACTTCAATATAAGTACAAAATATAGAAAGAATAACAATATACAATGATAAAATCTCAAATTGGAATCAAATAAAATACCAAAAATGTCAACAGAAAAAGTCCGTCATGTCATAGCAAAAATATGTAAACATGGAGGGATTTTCCAAAACACAAAACATTCAAAAAGGATTCTACAGATATCACGTTTTCCCGACGTTCAGTTTAGTAAGTAAACACCAAAACTAATCAGGTCCCTACGTTAATGGCTGCATATGCTTCATTTCCGAAACGCCACACGATCACAAAAACTGCGTACATTAACACATTTGTCCATCTTTACGTATATTTTGATTGTATTGACCGACTATCTGTTCATTTGATTTTTTAAAAGACCCGTGATGGTTTATTACAGTTTGTACTCCGAAATGAATAAAACTAAATTAAATATACTCACAAAACGATGTTAAATGTCCAGCATATGCACACGCCAAATCACCACCCGCTGGTCACTAAAATAAAACTGAAACTCAAGAAACACTCGATAACGGCGCAGACAACATCACAGAAGTTTAATACAGACTTTCTTCGGGATACCGTAAAACTCAACGAATTCAAGATAGCCCTCAGCAATAATTTCCAGTCCTTGTAGGATATACTCAATGGAGAGAAAACAACCTTGGAGAAAAACTGGAAAGGAATCAAAGATGCAATCACTTCAACTTGTCATGAGGTTCTGAGTCACAAGGAACACCATCACAAGGAATGGATCTCTGTAGGTACTCTTGAAAAAATTGAAGAAAGGAGGAACAAGAAGGTAGCAGTGAATGTCAGCCGAACAAGAGCAGAGAAAGTTACCGCACAAACTGAATACACAGAAGCAAACAGGAAAGTGAAGAAGGGCATCAGAGCTGACAAACGGAAATGTGTGGAAGATCTAGCAACGATGGCGGAAAAGGCTTCCGGGACGACCGGTGAAATCAAGCAAGGAAAAGTAATCAGCAACACTGAAGAACAGCGAAATAGGTGGGTAGAGCACTTAAAGGGACTCTTGAATCTACCAGCTCCACTGAACACACCCAACATCGAAGCAGCATCTACGGACCTCCCAATCGATGTTGGAGAACCTACAATTGACGAGGTCTGCATGGCCATCAGACAAATCAAGAGCGGCAAAGCAGCAGGACCAGACAACATTCCAGCAGAGGCAATGAAAGCAGATGTAGAAGCAACTGCGAAAATATTTCACATCCTCTTCAACAAGATTTGGGATGAGGAACAAGTACCATCAGATTGGAAAGAAGGATACCTGATCAAAATACCAAAGAAAGGCGACCTGAGCAAGTGTGAGAACTACAGAGGCATCACTCTTCTTTCAATACCAGGCAAAGTCTTCAACAGAGTATTGTTAAACAGAATGAAGGACTTCGTAGACGCCCAACTTCGAGATCAACAGGCCGGATTTCGTAAGGATCGATCATGTACTGACCAAATCGCTACATTACGGATCATTGTGGAACAGTCAATAGAATGGAACTCACCACTCTACACCAACTTCATCGACTACGAGAAAGCATTCGATAGCGTGGACAGGAAAACACTATGGAGGCTTCTCCGACACTACGGTGTGCCTGAGAAAATAGTCAACATCATACGGAATTCTTATGATGGGTTCAACTGCAAAATCGTACACGGAGGACAGCTAACAGACTCTTTCGAGGTGAAGACCGGTGTCAG